ATACATCATGTCCTCTCAAAACAAAAGATATGCATACCCTATGTATACCCTCTATATATATATATATATATATATATATATACACACACACAAATATGATGAATAAATAAAAGGGTAAATTTCACCATACTATCTAGAGAAAGATGGAAACATGATTTCCTTTATTTTGTTCACTTATTCCCATGATATATATACGAATGACAACTTTTTAATTAATATTTCAAGATTATATATGTGTTTATATATATATGTGTGTGTGTGTATGTTTTCGAAATAATTTACTTTAAATCGTAATTAAATTGGTACCACTACCTCCTGATCATCAAGAGATTGTATATTTGCCCCGATTGCATGCAGCGAAGTTTCTCCCGTGCTACAAACCAAGATTTTGAGAGAATATTTTCTATTAGTGGAATGGAAGCAATGCATACAGATGAAAAAGCAATCAGAGAATATAAAGCTAGCTTAATTAGCCACTCTCTCTCCATCTGCTCGCACTTTAGTCTTTACATTTTGTGCTGATTGAAAAAAAAGTAGAATTCCATTAAAATCCCCCTTAATTATTTCTTAGAATTTCCATCTCGTCTACTTCCAAAACTAAATAAATAAAGAAGTTTAAAGCCTTCCTTTCGTATTATCTAAGACTAAAAAGCTGCAAAAAGATTTAATATGCAAATTAATTAAGCAACAAATGAGCAGTTTGTTGGAAGTTTGAATGAAATTCAAGAACCTTAGTCCCACATTGGTAGAAAGTAGAAAGAATGAGGTCTTTATAAGTGTGGAAGTCTCACGCTTAGTAATGGAAGTGAGCCAAGTAGAAGCAATTTGGGCTTCAAAATCTACTTGGGCTTTGAATATTATATAAAATTATATAATATTTAATGGTAAAAAAGATGGGCCTTGGGCACTTGGGCACTTTGAGATTTAAAATTATTTTCGCCAGATTCTAAGTCCGAGTGCTAGGGCTTAGAATACAGATAATTGAATCCTGGGATGCAAACTTCAAGCCCCGAGAAGGGGTGAAATTACTGTATTTAGGACATTGCATTAGGACATTACTGTATATAAATTCTATTTATATAATTGTTTTAATTAGTCACTGATTGTTGTTTTTCAACACAGTTTAATTCGTGTTTACCTTGAAGAATTTTCCCACGAGTCCTTGTTATCTTGAACATGAATAGTCTGCGCTGATAAGAGCTGATCACCAGACCTTCTTGGGTTCTGAAGATAAAAAATTATGTCTTCAGTGGCATCCACAGATGATGCATTTTCATGGACATCAGATTGTCCTGTACAATAAAATCATAAAGTTGTGTCGTATTGCACATGTTTCAAAATTGTTTTTGAAATAAATTAAGAAATAAAAAACTGGAAAAAGTAGAGGGCATTATTAACCTGAAAAGGCCGCTGCTCTATCGGCGGTTTTCACCGTCCGATACATCTGCACACATTAATAATTTTGATGCATATTAGAATGGATAATAGAGCATTGGCATTACAATCATAATTTATGCATATTAGAATGGATAATAAAGCATTGGCATTACAATCATAATTTGACCAGTTGTTTCTTGGGGTTTTACACCCTCTCCCCCAGTTCATAAAAATAAAAAATTAAATTAAATAAAAAATAAAAAAAATAGAGTGAGAGAGCGAGAGAGCGAGAGATTACAAAAAATTTATGATTTCTTTTGGTTCTAGACTTGTCAAAATACAGTGCAAGTACATAAATATTTTGGAAGATTCACTATTATACCCAATATATGGGCCTAAATTATATATATAAAAAATCTACATTAAATGGACTTTAGAAAAACACACAAAGCTCATTTACAACATAATAAAGAGGCTTTGAACTTCCTATAAATTATAAAACTACCATCGATTTTTTAAAATAAGTCTAACCTCAAAACACTCAACAGGACATTAAAGTAATTTAATAATCAAAACTAAGTTCAATAGTGTCAATTGTCATTTTATGGGTTTGTTTATAAAGATTAAATTATATAGGAATGCTAAGAGTTGGTATATAAATAAATAGTTCAAACCTTTATCTATATATAAAGCAAAAGACAGAAAATTGTGAAAACATTCAAAATACCAAAAAATGCCCTTGATTAATTCAAACATTAATAATTGAAATTATTAATTAAATGTGAATAATATGGTAAATTCACATTTTTATATTTAAAAAAATTAAAATTAAAAACAAAATCAAATAATATGTCATACTTTTATAGAACATAACTACCCATGTTATTTTTTCTTAATTCTAAAAATAAAATAAAATAATAAAAAAGAAAACCAATTGGCAAGCATGTGTCAAGGGGCTAGTATGAATGATGTGCAATATTCTAGGGAGAATTCTAGTCAAACTGAACAGGTTTCATTTGTAACAGACAGTCACACCCTTCCGTCAATTAACTTTAACTGCATAAGAATTTTATCTTATTTTAACCCGAAGCAATGTCCTTTTGACCGAGAGAGAGAGAGAGAGAGAGAGAGAGAGAGAGAGAGAGAGAGAGAGAGAAGGGCGGGGTGTGGTTGCGCTGGGGAGGATGGTGGTTTGGGACAAAGGACAGGAGCCAGTCAAACGCTATACCATTTAAACACCTATACAATGTTAACTAATGTAGGCTGTAAAAATTGCAAATTTTGTACACTGCATCTGTACTTAAGCTTCATTAGTACGTAATATTAGTGTTTCAACTTCAACAGCCGCATTAAGATGAAAAGCCAAACAAGCGTATAATAGTCAAAGGTACAAGAAGAACACACATTTAATTAAAGAAATGATGATGTGGTTAGGAAAACTAGTTAGTGTTAATTGATTGATTAGATCACCTGTAAATGAGATCTGACATGGGCCAAGGTGAGATCTTTGACATCCATAAGCTCAAGAACTGACTTTGGTGTAGCCCCTAATGTATAAACCCATAACATTATTAATTTAACAGAAAAAGAAAAGGATTTAACAGGATAAAAAATCATAACAAGTACTTTACCATTTTCTTCTTGTTTTTAACTGTAAGTTGTTGAACACAACGTATACACAAAGGATAATTAAAGATGAAAGCAAGGACTAGTTCTCACTTTCATGGCCACCCAAAAGCTCAACAGCATGAACAAAGCGATTGTGTAGAGAGGTAGTCCAGCGCATCCGAGGGGCTCTCAACCTGGATCGAAGAAGACCCCCTTGAGCCTGAAATAGCGGGCTTGAACTTGAAGTCCTAGTAATTGTAGAGGTATGGGTAGAGGAATTACTATCCGAAGGCTTTCTCAAGATGTTGTTATCAGTGGTATTGGCGTTCCTTTGGTTCTTACCTAGTTTTGAACCACCTAAACATATGAGAAATATGGCAGGCAAAATGGATGCTTTGATAGGATTATCAGCATGCCGAAGGCAGTAAACATACTGAATTATAGAGCAAATGCACTGTGAGATGCCAGCAACTAGTCCATAAATGTCAGTAAGAGTACCAAAAGGCGTATGTCGAGGAGGTGGTGGATGATAAAACCACCAGAGCATTCCCCATCTCCTCAACACAACTCCTTCCCTTTTACCTTTGTAAATTAGCTCCCAGATGGAAATGAGCACAGCTGCAATAGCCAACAGCATACCAGATAGGGCATAGTGGGGTCTTCTTGGGGAGGAAGCCTGATCACAAGCGGCTGACAACATCTCTAGGCCAAGGATAGTAGCTAAAAATATCCACTCTGCTGATTCTGAAGTAGCCCTCATCCCTGGAACTCAAGGAGGGTATGTAAAGATTACTACTAGGTGTTAAAGATGGCTCAAAAGAAGACTGATCTCCACGACGAGTATTTGCAAACCAGTAAACCAGTTGTTGCTCTCACAATTTCCACAGCTAATAAGCAAGTGCTTTTCTTTGAGACGTAAATACCTCTGGTTGGTTGCTGAGAAAACAGAGGAATTTCAATAGAAAAAGAAAGGAACTTTCCAAGATGGATCCTCTGCTTTCTTTCTTTAATTATCTGATTTCCATCCCGCCTAAACTGAAAACAATGAGAAGAAGATGCTATAGTGTTACGGGATTAGTGGAGAAGAGGTTCTGGTAAAGGCAATAATGGAAAGGAGAGAGCTTCTTGGAAAATCAAAGTGCGGTGGAAAAGCTCTTCCTAGGTGGCCCACACGGTTTATTTTCATCGACTTTATAATGTTATCTTCCAGACGGTTTTTACAAGCTTTATATTAAGATGCAACGGTGAGCTGTCAAATACAGCTGCATAAGATTAGACTAACAAACAAACGATTTAGTGTAACAAACTAATTATTTACTGCTTTTAATATCATCTTTGTCTATCACTACCATTTTCAAAACAAAACAAGAAGGATCTGTGACCCATCAAGGAAGTTTCCTAAATGGAACATAAAGTTTACACACGGTTTGGTTGAACCTGAGATTAAGAATGAAAGAAAAAAGGGTCATATCATCTATTCAGCACTCATTTTCAGAAAATTTAACTGACATTTCTAGTAATCCTTATAGGTTTTCAACTCGGTAGTGACATCTAAATAATCAGCACAAACACTGGTCAACAGACTCCATTAGAAATCTAATTAGTAGAGAGGGGAAAAGGTTTACTTGGAAGGCTAAATTTCTAATGGAGACCATAGCGACGATTACCAAGTTAATGTTATGATCATTATTTTTTTAATCACGCGCTCTACGCACGACTTACAAAGTATTGTAAATATTTTTTTGCAATTGTATTTATTTTAAAAGTTTCATACTTTAAGCACACGAGTGTGATAAATCGTCGTCTTAAAAGTTTTTCTTTATCGACTATATTTTTCTAGACGTTGATTTTAGCAGTTTACATGCTATAAAAGAAGCCAAACATACACTTGCGTATTTGACATGCAAGAAATCTTTTGCAATAATCTTCACTTATTTGATTTTCAAATTTTAAAGCGATGCCCATGATTTTCACCACATAAAACCATTATAACATTGTCTCTTTTAATAAGGGGAAAATAACAAAAGGAACCATACGGTGGTACGTGTCCTAAGACCGAGTGGGCCCCTCCAAGCAGCAACCCCCATATGGGACCCGCCCATGTTCATATGAGAACTGTTGACTCAAACTACGCTTTCCACGAGCAAAAGACGCCGGGCCAAACGGGAGCCGCGAACGCGTCCATCTATCTTGCAAATTAGTTCTAGATGACAATTTTTTTAAAGTACAATCTACATAACAGAATATATTTTCCAGAAACTGTTTTTAGAAGAAAACAAGAATTTAACAGTTGTGGAAACTTAAATATTCTATAAAAAAAAAGAACTGCTTTTTGCTATTCACTTTTATTTTACAGTTTATTACATCCGATTACAGATGCAAAAGCGAACAGTGGAACTAATTCCATTCCATCATAATTCCCAACCAAAACTATGTACTAGATTCTATTCTTTGTTCAATTCCATTTCATTGCCTTTCCTAGTCCCATTCTCAATCCCTTAAGGCCTGTTTGGTGGGCTTTTCTCTCCCTCAGCCTCCTTTGCTTTCGTCTCCAGTTTGAGCGAGCTTCTCTTTTCTAAATCTCTCTCTTATTTGCTTTCTCCACCATGGTTTCAACCCCCCTGTGTCTGCTGTGATTTTAGCCATTGTTGCTAGGTAGCTTTTTTTGTCTTCTCCATTTTCTTATATCCATTGTTGCTGCTGTAAAGGGGGTTGTTGCTCCTCTCAAATCCGACGATGTATGACAGTCGTGAGTTGAAGGAAGCAGAACCCAAATAAAGTTGTGCTGATGTTCAATGCATTTTGCATGTATGGAGGCTGTTGTTGATGTTGCTGATGTGCAACGATGGTGATTTTGTTGCTAATGTGCAACAAATGTTGTTGATGATGCCTCTTCTTGAGGCTGAATAATGATGCTGCTGGGGCAGCTGAATGATGGTGTTGCTGGTGCAACTGATTGATGATGTTGCTGGTGCAATTGTGCGGAAGCTATTGATGATGGTGTGCAGCTGCCTGTGTGCAGCTGATGTGTGACAATGTGTCTATCTCCCATATCTGCCCCTCAAATCCGAAGCTTGTAGAGGGTTGAGATTTGGAAAAAGAGAAGAGAATGAAAAATAATGATGAAAGAAAGATTAAAAAAAAGAAAAGGAGCAACGCCAAGAAGATGGCGTGAAAGTGAAAAAAAATACTTTTTCTTTTGGTTTGAAAAATGACCCGCCGAAAAAAGGATATGACCCATCGAAAAAGTTAGCCAAAAAAAGAAGAAGAAGAATTGAGTGATGTGGAGACAGAAAGAAAATATCAAACTTGGCCAAGAAAAAAATTAGCTAGAGAAAGAACACAAAAAATTGGGTCTGATGTGAAACCTCAAAGAGAAACTGATATATCAACAAAGGAGATAAAGTGAACCCTCATGTTGGGTTGTCGTGGTGCAAAGAAGCGATGGCAACACAGAGAAAAAGGACCAGCAGTTGTGCAAAGGTGCTCTCAGGAAGATTACGATAGATGGCTTGGATACGAGCAATCGATGGTTTCTAGGCAGGGGCAAAGAATCAATGAACACAGTGGCTGGTCAACAGCAGTGGTGCTAGTGTAGAGCCTCCCGCGTTTGTTAGAGATGTCGTGGCTTGTCCAAAGACATGATGGCGAGGTGAGCATTGACGAGGCTCACAGAGAAAATAAACGGCTCAGTGAGGCAGTGACGAGGCTCACGAAGGAACCGCAATGAAGACGGCGTGTCTGCAGCAAGCATAGACAACTTAAAAAAATGATGGGTAGGCTCGATGAAGGCCGAAGGTGGCGTGGTTGTGGCAAGCGTAGTAGACATGAAAACATGGGCTCAATATCTGATTGCAACAGAGAGCATGACTAGAGATGGCTCAATATGATTTGTATAGAGAGCAATACTTGTATGAAAAACGTAAGGAAATTGCAGCGCCAAAGAAGGGTGCGACTGTTGGTTTAGTTAGATGTAGGAACTGTGGGATGGTATGGCTTTGGTAGCGGGAATAAAATATTGATTATTAAGGAGAGGGTGAACAAGACGACTGTGCAAGATGAATACCCATTATGGGTGAGGGATGAAAAGCGCCAACGACTCTCAATTTGGCAGAGGATTTCAAAGATTAGCAACTAGGGTTGTGAAACATTGGATTGTGAAGAAAATAAGGTTTGTAAAAAGTTTCAAGAGACGCCCTAGAATCGGTGCTCTGATACCATGTGAAATTAGAGATTTTGTTAAGAAAATAATTCTCGGGTTGTTATTGATAGAGCCAAAAGGCTAAGTATTTATGGAGATATTACAAGCTTAACTAGGAAAACTAGGTTACTTGGAGGCTGCTCCAAATCAATTACAATCAACTAATAAAAGGAAACTAAATAACAATTTAATAACGTTCCTAATTTCCAACAAAGTGGACCACTTAAGTTGGTCTCCCACATGCCGCAAGTACCAAGATTGGCCTCTTTCCTGTGCCTCAAGTGACCAACCCAAGCTGCCCATTAAACAAGGGGCACACATGGCTCCCCTCTTCTTCCTGTATAATGTAAGAGGCCCAACTCCCATTGACAGGGGATTATGAGAGACCTACTACAGGCTCTCCACGTATATTGTAATAGTCATTCGTAGCGAAATATAAATACCAAGCTCTACAGTGGATGTAGCCCGATTCATAAGTGAACCACTCTAAATCTGTATAATGTGTGTGATTGTCCATATATCCTCTAGGGTCCATGCTAAATCACCCGTTAATAGTTGGCGCCGTCTACAGGAAAAGCAGACAAAAGGTCTCGTTTTCCTTTATCATACTGAGCTATATTCATTGGCCCAGCCCCTTGGCGAAGTGTGCTCAAGACACCTATGTGTCTCTCCTCTGAAAATTAAGAACAGCAGGCGAAAATTAGATCGGCTCTGGGGAGTGGTCGTGCCACACTAGGGATGGAGCTGTGGAGAGTTGCTCCTGAAAAACTCCTGGTGGCTGCCATCCGAGCTCGTTGACTTGCATCTTTCGTTACCACATCTCCATGGCGAAGTCACTTGAGCCAGTAAAGTCAGCGAGGTACCTCCATCACCGCTTAAACTTTGGCACGCCAGAGAACTTGCCACTATGTATACATGCACCACTTCGCTGTTGTCACCATTTTGAAGTGAGGGCGTCACTCCATGGGCTCCAACGCTCTCGCAGTCCACATCGGCTCATACGACGCATGCCGTTGCCAGGCTCATACACTGGCGGCAAGGACACGGGCTGTGTGCGCCCCCATCGTCTTTCCTGAGACGCAGACTAACGAAAGAGATAAGAATCTCTTTTTTCCAACTTTTGTTATTTCACAATAAAATATCGTATCTCATTGCCACGTTATGATGTTATCAAATTATCTAATAAAATCCATCATGTGATAATTTGGCAAACCATGTTTGGGTCTACAAATACTCTGAGTCAATAACATGAACCGCACCACGCCAGTTATAAAATCCAAGATATATATGGCTCCCCACAGTTGGAATATGTATCATTTTAAAACTATTATGAGGGGAGCTGGACTCAGCCTTACCCATGTGCCCGCTAAAGAGAGAATAAATCTATTCCTGCCATGATATTTACATTATAATATTGTATACTATGACTTTCTCTATTGCAAAGTCCAAGTGTGCGGAGTGGATGCGGACTTCTATTTGTGACCATTACACCTCCAATCTACTAACCTCTGTTTCCTTCTTCCACCACAACACCTTCTCTTCTCTGTGCTTTCATCCCTGGCAATATCACAGCTGCTCCTCTGGGTTATAATATTTTTATTTCTTCTTTTCAGCACCTTCTCTTCTGTGTGCTCTCATCCCTGGCAATATCATAGCTACTCCTCCAGGTTAGAATATTTTTATTTATTTATTTATTTTGCTTAATGATATATGGGTATTTTCCATTTTGCTTATACAAAGTTTTCTGATTTTCTTATGGCATGGGATTGTTTACTAATAAGATTTGGGTTTCGTTGGAAATCACGAAGGTTGGAATTGGAAAAACAGAAAGCACTAATGTATGGGTTATATGGATTTGGCTACTAATTGGTCTTTGTTTTTTTATGGTTTTGGCTAAGTTATTCTATTTCCTTTTGGTTTAAGCATATGCACTTACGAGTTTGGCTTTTGGTTTAAGCATTGCTACAATATTCTTTGCTATTGTTTACCAATGTCCCATTGACCAATATTTTTGTTATTTTTTGCTTTAATAGATGAAACTTTAGAGATGGGGAAGCCCACAAGAAGGACTCGGGACATATGAATTTATGGAAGATACTAATGAAAATAATTCAGATTTATTTTGCAATCCTCAAGTAGAAGATCAGCATGTACCAAAAATTGGTCAAGAGTTTGAATCACTTGAGGATGCCTATAACTTCTATAACAACTATGCAAAACAAGCGGGCTTCAGTTTTTGAAGTTATTGTCAGCAAAGGAGTAAAACTTCTGATGAGATCTTGAGAAAAGAATATGTGTGCTACAAAGAGGGAGTATATTCCAAAGAAGTTTCTAATGGAACTGAAAGGCGGCGAGGTGTAGTACGAAGTGGGTGTAAGGCTAAGATTGCGTTTTTGAAGGTAAGAGAAGGAACAAATCAACAATTTGGTGATGTTAATATCCCAACACATCAACAATTTATTCTTCTTGAAGTGCAAGCAGGAGGGATGCAAAACATTGGATATACAAAGAAAGATTTATATAACTACAAAAGACAATTGCAGAGAAAGATGAAGGGGCATGATGCACAAATGTTGAGTGAGCATTTTATTAGTGAGCAAGCAAAAAATGAATCATTCTTTTTCATGACAGAGGCTAACGATGATGATAGGCTTAAACATTGCTTTTGGGCTGATCCAACATCTAGAGGAGCTTATAAGTTTTATGGTGATGTGGTTGTATTTGATACCACTTACAATACTAATCAATATGGTATGGTATTTGCCCCATTGGTAGGGGTTAATAACCATGGTCAAACTATTCTTTTTGGTTGTGGGAATCATACACAAAGGAAGAATTTGAGTCAAAGTGGATGGATGTGGTCCACAAGGTAAACTAAATGATGATGAGTGGCTATCTTCGATCTATAGAATACGTTCAAGATGGGTGCCAACATATGTGAAAGATATTCTTTTTCAATAGGACTGTCAAGTAGCCAACGAGTAGAGGGTGTTCATGCATTTTTCAAGCTCTATATTTCAAAAAAGAAATTCTTTAATGGATTTCATACTACGGTTTAATAGAGCGCTTGCCCAACAACGTCATGAAGAGATAATTATTGATTATGTTGATGTCAATGAGCAGCCTATGTTGAAATCTCCATTGATAATGGAGAAGCAAATGGCTGCCATTTATACTTGTAAAATTTTCTACAAGTTTCAAAAAGAGTTGTGGAAATGTTTGGCATGTGTACTTCAACTTGCAAGAGAGGATGACAATTTATGCTTTTATAAGGTAATGGAGAGGAAAAAAGATGGTAGCTTCAAGTTGAAGGTGCGAGAAGTCATGGTTGACAAAGTTGCAAACTATGCTTCATGTATATGTATGAAATTTGAATTTGAAGGATCTTATGCAGGCATGTGTTGGCATACATGAAAATGAGACAAATTGGGTATTTGTCAAATAAATATATATTAAAGAGGTGGACAAGTGCCCAAAATTTGATATAGTTGTGGAAGAGGGTGGAAGGCAAATTACTACTGAAAGTGGTGATAATTCATTATTAATGAGGCAAACAAGATTGTCTAAACTTGCTTTTGAACTTATTGATGGTGCCTTGGTATCTCAAGAGGCAAGTAAAGTTCTACTAGAAAGTTTTGAAGGTATGCGAGAAAAGATAAATTTTGTGGTGTGTCGTAGTAACAATATATGTGGAGGCAATAATGAAAATGCAACTAGTAGTTATCTTTCACCACATTTGAATGACCCGCTTCAAGTAAGGGCGAAGGGCTGTGGTAAAAGATTGAAGAGAGCAAAACAGAAAGCAATGAATAAGAGTAAATGTCATCGCCATGGGTGTGGACAAACATGACATGACAGAAGAACTTGTACAACTCACATTATTCAGTAAGAAACTAAGTTGAATTTTTTATTTCAATTTATTCCATTCATAGACATAATATAATAATGAATTAAAAGTAATTAATAGATTCAATTAATAATAGGAAGTAGATGCCACTACTTCGAAGTCATGCTGTTAGAAAATTATAATATTTATATTTAATTTTTTAATAATTGAATGAAAATTAAATTGTGGGACTTGTGATTTTAAGTACATGACTTTTATGAATTGGTATGTATCCATTGGGAATAGTCATGTTCTTAACCGAGGAAAAATAAAGTATTATTTATTTTGTTTGTAAAATAATAATAATTTATGTGATAAGTTGCATTGTTTCATATATGAAAAGTTGCATCATTTCATAGAAATTAAAATATTGCATCTTGGCTTAAGTTGCATTGTTTCATATATGAAAAGTTGCATTGTTTCATAGAAATTGAAACATTACACTTCTTGGCTTAAGTTGCATTGTTTCATAATAAATGAAACATTGCACTTCTTAGCTTATAGTTGCAACATGAAAAGACACATTTGTTGATATTTTTCAATCACATCTTTTCTAAACAGAGGTCTTGTTGCCTATAAATAGAGAAGATCCTATAACATTTCATTCATCCAATTGTCATCCAATAGTAGTTTTTATAGCATTCATAGCATTATATTTTTAGAAATATAGTGAGTTAGTAAGAGACAAAATTATACACAAGTTTGAGTTCGCTTTTCTTGGAGGCATGTCCACCTCCTTCAATCCGCCTTCACTACTTGCCGACGTCGCAGGAACTTCTGCTGCTCCTGCTCCTGCTCCAGCTCTGCTACTCGCCGATGTTGCAGGAACTTCTGCTGCTCCTGCTCCTGCTCCAGCTCCAGCCGCCGTTGCAGCTCCCG